GGTCTATTTTTGGAGAGAGGCTATTTTTTTAGACTTGTGTCTCTCAAACTGTAATGTGTACAGGAGTCATCTGAGGATCTTGTTGAAAATGCAGATTCTGATTCAGTGGGTCTGGGATGAGACCTCAGACTCTGCCTTTCTATCACGCTCCCAGGAGATGTCTGTCGGTGCTATTAGTCTAGGAACCACCTTCTAATAGCAGGTTTAGAACAGCACTTCTTGAATGCGAGTTAGCAAACCAATCACCCGGAAAGCTTATTAGAACTCGAATTTCTGTTTCCCATCCTTAGAGACTAATTCACTAAGTCAGGCCTGATCATTTGCATTTCAACAAGTCCTCAGGTGATCTGACATCACTGTCCCTGGGGGACACTTTGAGCAGCAGGTGTCAAGTTAACCTTTTAGCAGACTTGGTTAAATGCCTGCACCATTTCCACCTGTAGCCTTTTCATTTGAAAACAGCGGAAAAGATGAAGGAAGATGCTACTTTGGAGAAAATTACACAGTAAATTTGGAGACAGCTGCAGGTGTCTGTTCTTTTTCACTTTGACAATATGCTTCTTAGAAAAAGAATTCTGTAACAACATCTAGAGATGGGAACTGAGATAAAGGACAAGAACCTTGCCTGGAGGGCTGCTGACTGAAGACTAACAGGACTAGTTATTTTAGGATGACAGACTTATTTGTGTATCTAGAAAAGTTAGAAGGACCACAAGCAAAATGTTGGAGGCTGTCTCTTAAAATGAGTATAATGATGGGCGGCACCTGTGGTTCAAAGGAGCAGGGTACTGGCCCCATATGCCGGAGGTGGCAGGTTCAAACCCAGCCCCAGCCAAAATTGCAAAAAAAAAGAAAAGAGTATAATGAGATTTGGAGTAATGTTTGATTTTTGCTGTAAACTTATTTGCATTACAAAAGGTATTTAAATATTGCTTTCTAATTAAGGAGAAGAAAACCAACCAACACCAACGTTAAAGGAGAAAAGTCGTGAGATACATGCTCAGTGTTAAGTTTGTGTGTTTTTTAATTTAAGTTTTATTATAACTTTGTCTCCCTACGCTTTCTGCAGGAGAACGGGATTATTTTTGTCTATGCCAATTGTAGTGTTTGGGGGTCAAAGGTGATAGATAAGAGTAAGACCCAGACATTTGCCTGGAAGCTGGACAAGTTTAAGGAGTCCCAGAGGAGAAGCCACAAGTTCCCAGGAGAGAATTAGAGGCAGCTCCTGTCCCCAAATGATTTAACACAGGCCCTCAAGAGTTTCCTGAAGGATCTTTTCTCACTTCTTCTCACTTTAGAAGAGTTCAAGTAAACTTTAATTCAGAAGTTGAGAAAATATTAAAAGGTGAAAAAATGGGAGAACAGTAGCAACATGCTGGGGAACGTGCCAGTGGGGACATCAGCGCCTGTGCCCTCCCATGAGCTGGACGGCTGCAGCGTCCACTGGGGATGGCTGGATGAGAAGGAAGGTGGCCAGCGGGTCTGGAGTCATTTCACAAGCGTGTCACCATCACACCAAAGTATGTGCTCAAAAGGCTTGAAGATGTGCCTCCTGGGGCATTAGGTAGATGGCAATCATACAAGCCTGTTTTCAGCAGCTCAGAAGAATAAGTTGCAGTTTATTCCTTCTGTTAATCTGGAATTAATTGAAGAAATTGATGGACTTGTAGTTCACGCCTGGCGTAACTTTCCAACAAAACTAAGACTCTGCTGACCCCTGCTGGCATTTCATCTATTTTATGTTAAACAACAACAACAAAACAAGACAAAGAAGCGGGTTGTTTTCTTTCTTTTTTTTTCCTACAGTCCTTTGACCTTACTATGCTGAGTACACTACGTGTACTGTCCCTGAACCAACAGAAGAAAGTCTGAAGAGACCTTTCCACATCACGGAGGGGGCAGGGAGGGGAAGCCGTTGGGTGACAGCGTTCTTGATGTGAAGGGGATGACCACAGAGCTTTTACTGCCTGTCTGCCCTGTGTCACCTGCTCTGTGACCCTGCGCAAGACCCTTGACCTCACTCTTATCGTTACCAGGAGAAGGAAGCAGCCATCTCCCTCTTAGTGCCCTTTTAGGGCTTCTGAGTATTCTGGTGGCATCTTGCACTAACCATAACCTGGCTCTGTCACTGGAGTGACGACCTCAAAGGTCACTCTGAGCAACCTTTCCGTCCCAAATAAACAAGACTCTTCATCAGTATGGTATTTTCAAAAGATGGATGAAAGTTGTTTAAGCCTCTTCAAAGTTCACTATCTCTATAGTTTATTCTTAGAAACAACTAAATTAGAATGATTAGACAAAGCTGGTAAACAGTCTCAGAAATTGTCCCCTTTTCTGCCCTGGGATACCGTGAACTTCTGTCTTGTGTTTTGGAACATGTAACAAGCCTTCAGGTTGGGAAAATGCTTCCCAGTTAATGCCAACTAATTTCTTTGTGCTTTTTCTGTCTGTTTTTGGGAAACTCTGTGTGGGCCTGTGGTTTGTTAGGCCAATAACAGGATATTTGATATTCCCCAAGGAGTCATGGCCCATATTTTTAGCCTGACAGAGGAAGTGAGGTCTGACCATGAAAAGGAATTGAAGCATTTCTTTAATGCTCCTGTTTCATGTCTTCCTCGCCCTTCAGAATCCCGACTTCACCATTATGTTTGCTGAGGCTCTCCGTGTTATTTATAGTTATCAGAAAATGGCCTTTGCTCATGGTAAAGAAGCAAATTTACCTCTGTCCTGCCCGTCTTCCTTCAGAAAGCTGTTAGGTCTGACTGGGGGCAGTAGAAACCTAAGTTCACACACGATAATGGCTGCTGTCAAAAATCTCAGAAAGCCGTAAGTGTTGGTGAGGATGGAGGAAAAATGAACCCTGGGGCACTGTTTGTGGGAATTAAAATTCTACAGCTGCTATGGACAACAGTATGATGGTTCCTCTAAAAGTTAAAAATGTGATCCAGTAATTCCACTTCACGTTGTTTATCCATAATAATTGAAAGCAGGAACTGGAGTTATTTGTATGCCAGTATTCATAGTAGCATTGGTATTGCCAATAGCCAAGGACTATAAGCAACCCTAGGGTCCATCAGAGATGAATGAATAAGCGTACAGTGGAATATTATGTAGCCTTTAAAAGGCATGGAGTTGCATGTGGCACATACTACATGGAAGAGCCTTAAGGACACTGTGCTAAGTGAAGTGAGTGCCACAGAAGGACCAGTTCTGCATGACTCTACTTGTGTCAGGTGGCTAGAATGGTCAGAATCACAGAGACGGAAAGTAGGATGGCGGTTACCAAGCGCTGGGAAGAGGGGCTGGGGAGCTAGTGTTTATCAGGTCAGAGCTAGGTTTGCAAGATGAAAAGCGTCTCTGAGATTGATGAGTGCACGACTGGGAGAACGTGCGTAGTGCCACTGAATTGTCCACGTAAAAGTGGTTAAGATGATACATTTCATGCTACTTCTGTTTCACCATAATTAAAATTAAAAGAATTATTAAATACCAACAACAAAGCAAAACAAAAACAAGCTCTGTTAGAGCTCAGTCTCACCTCTGGTCCTTGCAGAGATCAATTTGCTTGACCATTTAACCTCTCAGTACTATGCGGTGATGTCCTAAAGCCACACCTGTGAGGATGAAAATGTTCTTTATCCAGCTCGGCACCTGTAGCACAGTGGTTGTGGTGCCAGCCACATACACCAAAGCTGGTGGGTTCGAACTTGGTCCTGGCCAGCTAAACAACAATGACAACTGGAACCAAAAATAGGCAGGCATTGTGGTGGGCGCCTATAGTCTCAGCTACTGGGGAGGCTGAGGCAAGAGAATCACTTAAGCCCAAGAGTTTGAGGTTGCTGTGAGCTATGACGCTATGGCACTCTACCCAGGGTGACATAGTAAGACTCTGTCTCAAACAAAAAAAAAAAAAAAGAAAATGTTCTTTATCTGCACTGTCTCATATGGTAGCCATCCGCCCTATGTTGGCTTTTGAATGCTTGAAATGTGACTAGTGCAGCAGAAACTTTGAATTTTATATGTATTAAATTTAAATAGCCGTATATGGGTAGTGGCTACCCTGGTGGACAGTGCAGGTAGAGCTTACATCTATGTTACTATCGCTCAGTGCTGAGCTGTGAACCTAAAGGGTTGGCCTGTAAACCCAAAATGGTAAGGAATCAGCTTATTGGTGAGTCACAGTTCTGTTATAACATGCAGTATCAATTTGCTACAAAGCATTTTGCCAAGGGTGCAATTCTTTTATGGAATTCATTGTCATCCGTTTACTGGACCCAAGGGCAGAATTAGTCTTAATTCACGGGCTGGCCTTTTCTAGCAAATGCCCTTTTAGAGACCCAAATTCCTTTACTGCGTGCACAGTCTTTCTTCACCTTTCCTTGTAAATCCACGGCGTGTTGGTATGAATTGCAACTGAGGTCCAAGTCCTTATACAGAAATTAAGCGAGCCATGGCACTGTTCGCTCTGGGTACCCTGTCAGTCACAGAGCATTGTATTTATTAAAGCTTTGCCGGAAAATACAGCCAGGTAAGATACATTACAAATTCTTAGATCGAAGAAAACAATCACAGTAAAACTGATGAACGTGTATGCGTTTATCCGATAAAGTGGTGAGGTGATGGTTAAGCATGTCATGAAGTATGACATGATGTTGGTTAGAAGTCAAGTGAAGATAGCCAGCAACTGCAAAGGGGCTTATATTGAAACAGGCTGCAAAGAGAAAGCCAGGAAGTAAATCAGTGGGCAGCGTTCCCTTGTGGCAGCTCAATATTTAATAACACTATCGATGGCACACACATCTTCACGGAAGGAACGTGAAAGCTGTCTACTAAAGAGTGAAGTATGAACGTGTGGAACGTTGACGGCTGTGAGGCAGGAAGGGCTAACAGAAAAGCTTGTGTGTTTATTACACAGAATGGACACAGTCTCTCTAACAAAACAACCGCATTTGGCTCACAGCGGGTTGCTCACCAAGAACATTTTTCCCTGTCTCTTTCAGCCATGGGTAGAAGGCCTGAGATCCATCATACACAACTTCAGGGCCAACAACGTCAGTCCCATGACCTGCCTGAAGAAACAGTGAGTTTCCCTTGCATTTTGTTCTTAACGGCTAACAAGCAGACAGTCAGGTTAGGAGATGAAGGCTGAGTATATGGCCAGGTGAATTCCTGTTTGCCCGAACTCCGTGCACCTTCAGGGTGCTGACCCCCCCCCACCTGCACTCTTCATACCACCTGGCAGGGCACTCATGCTGAACCCACAGGCCAAAACCGCCGTGAAGGGAGTGCTTGATGGCCACGAGATGCCGAACCTCAGTACCCAGGTTCCCCCGAGTTGGGGTCACTGGTTTTTGTGTCCCCAGACTGAGTCTTCTGATGGATAGCTCTGCATGCCAGGGTCTATTATGGGCTTTAGGTTAGGTTGAGCCTCCACTGCTTAAAAGTGGGGAGCGTGACCAAGAGAAGTACTTGCAAAAGCACCAGGGCCAGGCGAAAAGCAGGCCCGGCCCCAGGCACCAGGATCCCTGTGGAGCACACAGTCGGGACCACAGATGTAGCATTTCTAAATACCTTTCTAAAATTCAGCCAGTCAGGGATTCAGTCTGTCAAGGACTCAATCAAGGATCCAAAGGTGCTTTCTGGATTTATTTCTTCCATACAAGAAGGAATCACCCGAGTTTACTGTATCAAAAATCCAGAGGGTGCCTATAGTGGTGGATTTTAATCCCACCCAAGTAAACCTGTTCAAGTAGTGTTTTCAACCTTTTTATCTGACAACACACTTGAACCTTTAGCTCAACTTTTGCAGAACATTTAAATTATGTTTATCAAAAAGAAGAGCCAACAAAGAAAAGAGAATATACTTAACTTTTTTTGAACTTTTTTTTTTTTTGAGACAGAGCCTCAAGCTGTCACCCTGGGTAGAGTGCTGTCACATCACAGCTCACAGCAACCTCCAACTCCTGGGCTCAAGCGAGTCTCTTACCTCAGCCTGCCAAGTAGTTGGGACTACAGGCGCCCGCCACAATGCCCGGCTATTTTTTGGTTGTAGTTGTCGTTGTTTGGTGGGCCCAAGCTAGATGTGAACCTGCCAGCTGTGGTGTATGTGGCCAGTGCCTTAGCTGCTTGACCTACAGGCGCCAAGTCTATTTTGAACTTTTTAAGAAATAATTTAATTGGTTATCTTTAAAAATTTTCATGGCACAGCTAAGATCCTCTCATGGTACAGTGGTTGAAAATCATTGTTTTAAAGTGACACGAAGATTACTCAAGTAGAAATCTTCACCAACACCAGACAGTTTGAAAAGCAGTGACCTGTGAAGGTGTGTAGAGCCACCTGCCATCATGGGGCCATTGGCAGACAGCTGTGAGGTGTCTGAGGGAAGCCCCTGGAGAAATGGTGGGGGTCAGCCTGCATCTCTCTAAACCACGTGCTAATGCCAGGAATGTCATTCCTTGTCCCCACTTGGCAAAGGGTTACAAGGTCAGTCCATAGGCACTTTGATCTCTCAGCTCCCGGTCACTCTGGAGGGGCTCTGCTCGGGAGTGTGGGCTCTGGGCTGTGAATCTCAGCTTTGCCACAGCAGATTCTTAGCCTTGTGCCTCTGTGTCCTCATCTGTGACTCAAAACCACCGTGCAGGTGAAACTGAAGAGCACCCAGCCTGGTGCCAGGTTTCCAGTCACTCTTTATTCCGTGCTAGTTACCTTAATTCTCACAGTATCTCTTCAGTTTCCTTCGTATCCTCTTAGTGGAAGGCAGTTGTTTAGTTGGCCTGTTCCTGTTCCTGGTGCAGCTGCCTCTCCCTGTCCTCTGCAGTTGCTGTGGCATATTTTCCTAAGGAGAGACCTAGTGGATATTTTGATGTTATGACTTCAGGCACTGATAGTCCCAAAGGATCAGAGACTATTGGAATGTTTCCTTACACCTGAGTGACCCAAACATCCTCACCTGGCATTACAGCATCCTGCTCAGACCCCTTTGTGGAGCTGAGGTCCAGCCAGTCGCCAGCTGCCCTGAGGGGCTGGCCAAGGGCCTAAACCTGCTCACTTCCCAGAGACTTGCCCTCTGCTGAAAGGGAACCTCCATGCCTGGGAGATGACCCTCTTCCTCATCCTGGGGGATTCCCACAGCCAGCGACAGGCTGAAATGGTAAAATCATGCCCTTCCTGCCCCCAGGTCTGATGCAGATCACAGGGGATCAAGCTGACGGTCCAGCAGGGGACCACAGCTTTGCTTAGCTCTTTTCCCTGCCCCGTGGGCTTCCCTCTCTTCATCCCCAAACATCTCCTTTATAAGTGATCACTTGTGCTTTTAGAAAGTTGAACACAGCCCCTGTACAGAGCGTTATGCTTTGCAGACGGTTAGAATATTATGGACTAAAAAGCAGCGGCAGTGGTGCTCACTGGCTTAGAGCAGTTTAGCTCCAAGTCTAAATAAATGTACAGACAATGTCCCCATGTGTCTGGAAAGCCTGGGAGAGGCAAGAAATTGCTCACCGTCACTTTGAATTGATGAATCACTCTTACCATTGGAAATTAAGGAATGTGGCCAGATGAGTGGTACTTTGCAGCACTGGGAGCTGGGAGTGGTGAGTCCCCGTAGTCCTTAACCACCAGGCTGGCTGTTGTCCCTGAGCACTGGGGTGTCCCACCACCTTAACGTATCATTAAAGGGCAATAATCAGGAGCAAACTCAGTCACAAATAAGTCCTGACTATGTGTTTTGCTCAATATAAGCACCCAGTTTTTGAATTCATCTAAGATGCCAGGTTAAATAGAGGACTCTTTTAAGCTAAATTTAAATTTTAGATAAGTAACAAATAGCATTTGGAACACACTTATTGTAAAAAATTATTTGTTGTTAATCTGAAATTCAGGGTTAACTGAGAGTCCTGTCTTTGTATTTGGCTAAGTCAAATAACCCTAAATTCATCTCATAGGACACAATCTCTGACTTTCAAAATATGCTTGATCTTAGCCAGAATGCCGGACGAGAAGCAGTGATGATTTTCAGAATAAATGTTTTATTGTTTTTTATTGTTACTTATTTACTTATTTATTTATTTTCAGTCTCAGAATAAATGTTTTAACGAACTTTTGTTTAGAGTTCGTGACTAAATTGAAGCTGTCCCACCTGAGAAACATTGAAGTTGTTGCTCTTGTTTTCCAGCTGGATGAAACTGGCGTTTATGACGAACACAAATGGTAAAATCCCAGTTAGAAGGTAAGTAAATCATTCCTGTCTGTTATCCGTTCCCTGGAACAACACCAGACCAAACAGAGATCCCTTCACAAGGGTTGGTGTGTTAGTTGCCTTAAAGATACTTCTGGGATTCTAGTTTGAATTACTTTCTGAAATACTGCATTTGTTTGTAAAAATAATTTATGGAAATAAAGCTGCATTTCTTTTTCAAAATAGGTCGCAAAATAGGTACTTTGATAATTTAATTTAAATATTACCTGAAAACGTAGCATTATTTTTGTGAAGCCTCTAATAAGTGGCTTTTTAGGATTTAAGTTTATTTTTATTTACTTATCCTGAGCAGCTATTAGCTAGGGAAGTTTCTATTGCATGACGCAGCTGGCGGAGTGTGGGCTGTGGTGGGAGGGCAGTGTGGCTGCCCCTGCACAGTGGTGGAAGTGTGCTGTCCCTAAGCAGTGCGCTCTCATTCAGAGCTCCGCTGTGCCCCTGGGGCTCAGGGCAGCGGGGGCTCCTTCTGTGGCTTCTTGCTGCTGCTCTCTGGGCTGCTAAACTGATACCACACACTCTTCAGAGTTGTTACTTTCTCCCTTACCCTGCCCACAGAAACAGTGATAAAGAACAGGCTTGGTGCTCGTAGCACAGTGGTTACTGCACCAGCCACATACACCGAGGGTGGCGGGTTCAAACCTGGCCCGGGCCAGCTAAACAACTGCAACAGAAAAGAAATAGCTGGGTGTTGTGGCGGGCGCCTGTGGTCCCACCTACTTGAGAGGCTGAGGCAAGAGAATCACTTAAGCCCAAGAGTTGGAGGTTGCTGTGAGCTGTGATGCCATCGCACTCTACCCAGGGCGACATAGTGAGACTCTGTCTCAAAAAAACAAAAACAGTGATAAAGAACAAAAGCAGGTAAGCACTGGGCAGAGTCAAGTGTGAAGAGAGGGTGAGCCAGATACATCCCCCACCTGTGTTCACCAGTACGTAATGGTGACAGAGTCCCCCTCTCAGGATTGCCCAAGCCGTCCTCTTTTCTGCTTCTCACCACCTTTCTGGGCTTAGGGTTTGTTAATGGTCTCTGGTTAGGGTTTGGTAATGGTCTCTGGGTATAGTTAAAATTCTTGACACGGGAGTGACGGGAATTCTTTGAGTACTCTCCAGTATCTTCTTTTGGAGGGTGTTTGTGGTGAGCATTCACGGACGTTCCAGAAACTGGGCTCGGCCTCAGAGCACCTGCTGTCCACATGAAGCCAGGAGTATGGTCGTTAGATTGATGAAGCTAAGCCCACAACCTGAATCAAACATGGGTTCCCCAGATACCAATTCGTTCTTCTAGGATTCTCCAGACTCGGGATCTTGTTGACATCTTTGGATACCACTTAGCAAAGAAGCAAAGCAACAGTAAACAACAAACAAAACCCAGAACAGCTAGGTAGAATCCTGTCACAGAACTTACCTGTCTTTCAGACATGAGACGGAGGTCCCCAAGTACACAGCGTTTGCGTGGATGCAGTGAGCACAGCGTCTGTTCCCTCCTGCAATTTCTAACTCCTCTTTACCTCCCTCCCTGCCAGTCACTCCTTTCTGCTTTGACTCTTCTTTCTGCATCCAGAGGAAAGGATCCTCACACTCCTTGGATGTTACTCTGAGCACATGTAATAGAATTGTCCTAGAATTATTCTTAATTCCATGTATTATGACAATCATGAGCAGAAGTATCCATGCGATGTGACTGAAATATCTATGAAAAAATGTAAATCATACAAATTCTGAAGAAAATCTTGGTATTATTATTATTATTTTGAGACAGAGTCTCTTTTTGTCCCTTGCGTAGAGTGCCATGTTGTTATAGCTCATAGCAACCTCAAACTCTTGGGCACAGGCAATCCTCCTGCCTCAACTTCCCAAGTACCTGGGACTATAAGAGCAGGCCACAACACCCACTAGTTTTAGAGACAGGATCTCGCGCTTGCTCAGGCTGGTCTCGATCTCTTGGGCTCAAGTGATCCACCTGCCTCAGCCTCCCAGAGTGTTAGGATTATAAGTGTGAGCCCCTGCGCCCGGCCTATTTTTTTATCTTTTTGTTTACCCTTACACTGATGGCTAACAGAGTCATAGACCACAGACTTTTGTTATGCTCTTCACACGTCTATATGCAGGATTCTCTGCTTCTATTTAATAACTTACTAGTAAGTCAATTTGATGTCTTCATGAGAAGTTTGGTTTTTTGTTGTTATTGTTTCTTGGGGGTTTTGTTTGTTGTTTTTGTTTTGTTTTTGAAGAAGAGCCCTGTTAGCCCTCTGACTGTGGCTGTTGGCAAAGCTACGTTATGCTTATTTCATGTAAAAGCCTTTGTTTAGTTGAGCAATAGGTGGGCAACTATTTTAGTGTATCCCATCATCCTGAAACCATTGCATTTTTATTTAAAATCCACATTAAAGTAGTAAGTCCAGACTTTGGAGAGCGCAGATAGCAGTGTGAAGAACAGAAGTGTGGTTTGGATCTGTTTTTACATGCCTTGCTGTCCTGCTTCCTCTTCCAAGATAAGTTTTGGGAAATAGACAAAGTGGACATGCGTAGATTACGGTCCAAGCCCTTCTAGCCAGCTGTTCTGGTTTCTCTTGTGTGCCTCGAACTAATCAAACAATTGTCATACATACTTTGAAGGTTTTTCTGATTCCAACGATCTTTATCTAGCATGTTACAAAATTACTACCACCTTTTCTTAGAAATGGCCTAGACATTTTGGCATCTCCTTTAGCACTCGGTGACATGGACTCCTTGGGGCTTGCCAATATTAACAGGTGTCTGACACAAGACGTCTGTAATTTGGGGACAGTTTGTTAGAGCTGATGAGGAATTGATGCCAAACTAAAAAAAAAAAAAAAAAATAAGTGGATAACTCTGCTGGCGGACGAACTGCCAATGGTTAAGTGGAAATTGTTCTCCGTGTTTTAATGGATCTGAAGAGTAAACACTTTTAAAATGTTTCAACACTACAATTCCGGAGTTTTTAAAATGGAAACTATTAATATAGTGTGGATAAAGTTAAAGTGGATATGGCTTCACAGTCATCACACAGCTTGGGAATGGTCCCTGCTCTTTACTGTTAAAACAAAATTTAATATCCTGGAATTGCAGGAATGACACGTAAAGACAAGTCTCACCCTCTTCTCTACACATGTAATCTCATTAAGTCTGCCTTTCTTTCAAACACAAAAATCCACACTTTGACACATAAAACAACCTGGGCAACTCTCAAACTCATTTTAAGTGAAAGAAGCCCCACTCAACAGGCTTTGCAAGTATTCTGGATCATCCATTCCACGTTACATTCTGGAAAAGTTAAAGCTTTAGAGATAGAAATCAGGCCAGGGCTTGCCAGGGCTGTGGGTAGGTACAGGACATCGACTAGAAAAGGGCAGGAGAGAACCATTTGGGGTGATGAAATTGTTCTTTATTTTGACTATAGTAGTGGTTATACAATTATATACATTTGCCAGAGATCATCCAAAAACCCCAAAATTTAGTGTACATAACTTTGCTTTTAATAAACCTGACTTTAAAATAAAAAAATTCACACTCAATTTATCCTCCTACTCAAACTAAAACTATGAAAAGATTAATAACCTTTATCTTAGCCTTCTCTCCCTCCCTTGTAATCTGGGCTGGATACAAATGGCTAGAGAGTTAGAAAAATGGTAGCAAGACAGTAGTTGCAGGCAATGGCTAGAGGGGTCCCAAAGAAGACGGTATGGTAGGCTTGGCGCCTGTGGCTCAAGTGGCTAAGGCACCAGCCACGTACACCCAAGGTGGCGGGTTCGAATCCAGCCTGGGTCTGCCAAACTACAATGATGGCTGCAACCAAAAAATAGCTGAGTGTTGTGGTGGGCGCCTGTGGTCCCAGCTACTTGGGAGGCTAAGGCAGGAGACTCGCTTGAGCCCAGGAGTTGGAGGTTGCTATGAGCTGTGATGCTACGTCACTCTACCCAGGGGGACAGCTTGAGGCTCCTGTCTCAAAAAAAAAAAAAAAAAGAAGAAGATGACGGTGTGGTAAAGAAGGCTGTAAGCCTCTCATACGGTCGTGGCAGCCCAGCTCCTTCATAATCACCCATGTCCGGAAGCTCCCACAGCCTACAAGTAGGGTCCGATTCTGCTGGGGAAGTCGCCCTTTTTGTCACTTCAGGGGTCTTCTGTGACTATGTCAGAAGATGAAGTTTAGGACCATTGGGTAGATTACAGGCCCCTTGTGGGCTAAGAGTGGGACTCCCTTCGTTTCTAGGATCTTTGCAGTCTGGGTCACCTGCAAAGTCCCCTGGCTACAGAGTTGGACAGGACTCCAATAGGACTGGACACAAGAGGATTTGCTTTTCAGCATTTCTCTGTGGAAGGGGCAGTGGTTTATTTTGAGTCATTGAAAACTCATTAAGCACCTGTCAACTATCAAGCTGACCTCCTGGGCCACGGGTCTATATACGAAGGGCTGAATAATTTGTAGTCCTTTTGTAAACATTCTGTGTTCCCATGAAATGCAGCCATATTATCTGCCCTCTCCCTCCGCTCCTTTCCTTCCCCTCTGAGACATCTTTGTTCTGTGTCCTGTTTTCTGGCAAGAGGATACTCTATTCCCTTCCCACTGACACCCAAGTTCTGTTTCGCCAGAAAGGCTCAGGCTCCGTACCCGCTGTGTTCGCCATAACCAGGCAATCAGTTTTCATCTCACGATACCAAGGCTGTGTAAAGCTAACAGAGGTGCAAGTTGACTGGGATGCCCCGATGCCAAGGTTTTCCTCCAGATCAGTGCCAGATTCTGCCGGGGTCTGTAGTTCTTACCTGAACACATACTTTTTTGAAAAAAGACACCCCTAATAGCTACTTTCCCCTATTGAAAAGGTCATATGAGGGGATGGGGCACAATTAGGATTACCTAACAAATGCAAGCAACATAACCTGGTTCTTTGTACACTCTGTGAATCCCCAACAATAAAAAGAGAAACGAGGAAAAGTCATATAAATTGCAGCTCCCCCCCCCCATTTGGTGGATAAAAATTGCACTAATTCTTGAGAAGTGAGAAAATATAGACATTGTGCCCTCTTCCCAAGGAATCTTTAAACCATTTATTGATGGGACACACGTACTCTCCGCCATGTCTGTAGATTTGTTAAAGAGAATTCATAGGCCTCCTTATATTTGAATACAGCTGTCTCAAGAACTCTTAAAAATATACCTCTTGAAGTATTCTTGGACCTATTATGAAACAATAAAGCCGTGAATGAACACATAACCATTCATTTACCTAAAGCGACTTCTCCCCAGTCTATTTTGGGCAGTCGTACTCGGCAGCTGAAGTGGTGCTTTCTCCCACTCATCAAGATTAACTAGCTGTCAGGGCTCCCGTCTAGGGCCTGCCTTCCACTTCGCAGGAATGGCTGGAAGTGGGGAAAGGCTGGGCACGAGATGCTGTTAAAATCCTCCTGCTCTCACAGGGAGGGCATTGCAAAGGCGAGCTTCACACACAAAAGTAAGCTCTGTCTTCGAGTCAAGGGTGGACTTAAGACTTTCAATTATCACGGTCAAAGGGCAAAGGAAGGCTCCCTGATGGCCAAGGCCCAGCTCAGAGCTAAGTGTGGGGTTCCAGGGTACAAGCCCTATCCTCAGTTATGAGTGTCACCAATGCATTTATCATACGGAGTCTTTCTTACCTTTATCATCACCAGGAATATGCTCACTAGAGTGCTATCCAAGGCTTGGCGCCTGTGGCTCAAGCGGCTAAGGCGCCAGCCACATACACCTGAGCTGGCGGGTTGGAATCCATCCCTGGCCCGCCAAACAGCAATGACGGCTGCATCCAAAAAATAGCTGGGTGTTGTGGCGGGCACCTGTGGTCCCAGCTATTTGGGAGGCAGAGGCAGGAGAATCACTTGAGCCCAGTAGTTGGAGGTTGCTGTGAGCTGTGATGCTACAGCATTCTACTCTGGGTGATGGCTTAAGGCTCTGTCTCAGAAAAATAAATAAAGAAAGTGCTATCCACCTGGTTGCCATGGCACTCGCTGTACTAGTTAAAAGGCTATTCAGAAATTCCATGTCTCAGGGTGGTGCCAGGCTGCTGCTGAAACATGGCTTCTTGTTCCCTGGCTCCTTCCCCCAGCCTATCACTCTTGCAATGAAGTCCCTAACCTGTGAGGCGGCTAGCATTTCAGGGTGGCTCTAAGGTGCTCAGCTTAAAAGCAAAAACAAAATAAATCTGTTGGCCTGTGCTCACTGTTGTTAAGTGTGGGAAGCAGGATGGGGTGTTCGCGGGCATGGGCTGAGTTTGAGGGTCTCCCACTTTTCCCCGAGCCCAGATATTGTCAATGTGAGGTTTGTTCCGGGCCATCGCTTCATTTGCCACTTTCGTCCAACACCGTTGCCCTCTAGTGCCCCCTAACCTCACAAGCACCTAGGGGACTGCTGGCCTCAGGGTCAAGTGGCTTTGCTAGCGTAACCATCTCCAGGAGCCAGAGAGATATGGAAGAGCTGGTTTGGGGAATGAAAAACACCTACAAATAAGAAGTCATTTCATTCTCCTCTTCCCCTGATCCCACCATCCCCCTACTGTGACTTGGAGTTTGCGTTGGACAGAACAGAGTGACCAATAACTTGAATTCCTCTCTTTCTTTTCTACCTTAGTATTACCAGAACTTTCGCATCAGGGAAAACAGAAAAGGTGATCTTTCAAGCGCTGAAGGAATTGGGTCTTCCCAGTGGAAAGGTATTCATTAACTTAATGTGGTTCTAAAACCCTTTTGCTTATTTACATCCTCACATGCAGTAAGCTGGATTATTTATATAAACACTAATCTCAGACTCGGAATTAGATTTGGTGACATACAGTGTGGGTTACTTTCTCTTTGTCCTTCCCTCCCTCCTTCCCGTCCGTCCTTCCATTTCTTTTCTTTTCTTGGGGGGGAGGGAATTGAAAAAAGTAATGTTTTTTTTTTCCAATTAAATCATAGCCGTGTATATTAATGCACTTATGGGGTACAGTGTGCCGGTTTTATATACAATGTGAAATACTTTCATCAAACTGGTTAGCATAGCCTTCTCGGCATTTTCTTAGTTATTGTGCTAAGACATTTGTACTCTGCACTTAGTAGATTTAACATGGACCCTTGTAAAATGCGCCATCCGGCTCCCTGCCCGGCTCCTTCCATGTGTTTTCTGAGCATTTTAACCTAAATCTCCTAAAATTCAAATAGTTTGCTTCAAAATTATTTTGTCAGTTTTATTAAGAAAAGGAAATGAAAGGCAGACGGCTCTCTGGCTCAGCTTTTGTTTTCGAGAAGCTCATCAGCAGGGCCTCAATCAGGCACAAAAGTCAGCAGGAATAATTAAACTCAGTTCCCAAGATGACTGTGTAATATTTCATGGAGCACCTCTCCCCACACAAACTATTTGTATTTATGGCCCTTCAGATTTAAAATAATTGAAATTAATTTGACTGCAAGAAAGATTTAACCCTGTTACTGCTTCAGCAAGTCCTATTTGGAACCTAAATTTCAGTATGAAAGGAAAATCTTTTATGATTATCCTAAGGCCCTTTAGATGGTCTTTAGAAAATGCACAAAATAGGTCTAATTCAATGTGAGGCTTGATTTATTCAGCATCCTGTAGGCAAGCACTTGTCACCTTCAAGTAAAAACAAAGGAAATGTTTCTTTATATTCTTCCTTGGGGTGTTTCTCCGAGCAAGCCCAGCCGTCGCCAGATGTTTGCACACACAAGTTCTGGCTGTAGGCGACTAGGAACGCTGACTGATTTACGGGCCTGAAAGTTGGTCACCTGGCTTCTTCTATCAGCAAGATCAGAGATGGAGGCCCCAGGACTCTAGGTGGTTCCCTGTGCCTCTCAGCCTCCAAGGAGAAAAAATGGGTCTTACACTGTATGACACGCTTTTTATCCTTCACAGAATGATGAAATCGAGCCCGCGGCATTTACTTACGACAAGTTCTATGAACTGACACAGAAGATTTGTCCTCGGACAGATATAGAAGATCTTTATAAAAAAATGTAAGTCCCTTTTATGAAGAAGTGTCACATAAATATTATCATTGTCCTGTTAGATTTGTAAGACATTCATTTTGTCATATTTGAATATAGTACGTTGGCAGTGTCTAGGAAGATCTAGTCAGGGTTAGGTTTCACCCCTTAGCTCATCAGTGTAAAAGTTCATTCTGAGTTTTTGAGAAAATTTTACATAAATTAGTTCAGCACCTGGAACTTTCCCCCACCCCACCCCCGCATTGGCTTTTACTAACTACCTACAATTTTAACCTGCTCCTTTAGGTATTAACCCATTATGTGAACTAACTAGATCCAATCTGGAATGTTAGTAGGTTGTTGGAAAAGTCCATTCATTCCGATAATTTCAAACGGATGACTTACATGTTGTTTTCGAAATAGTCTTTTGATAACACTAAAGAATTGTAGGCATTTTCTGTGACCTAGCAGGAGTATTTTCTTTCCTTTGTTGCTGTTGTTGGTTGACCCCCGCCCCTGCCCCCACCTTACGAACAGTCTGGCCATTTTAAGAATTCGCTGCTCCTTTCAGGGTTAGAGAATAAGTTTAGAGTTATCACCCACCAATGTCAATGTCAACATGTAGATCGTTACCTCCTGTAGCATCATATACAAAAACTTACTTTTTCTAATAAATTTCTTTTCAGCAATGGAGACAAAACTGATTATTTAACGGTAGACCAATTAGTGAGCTTTCTAAATGAAGTAAGCTTTTTCATACATTAACTCCATAAAGTCTGTGTGCAGTGGCTTGCCTCCTCCTGTGTCCTCATTGCATGCCGGCGTCCTACACCCTGATTTGCTCTGCTTTGACCCGCTGATCTTTCCATTATGGCTTCACCAGGTGCAAAAATCAGCTGCCGCTCTGTGTGTGTTCACGTTGCTTCCTACACGTTGGCTTTGCACACTGCTTTTTGCTGGTTTCTGGCTGTGATATGTAGCTCTGGTTCTGTGTGTATGTGTGAGTGTTATAATATATTCATTTAATTAAATGTGTCTATGTTTTTGCCAGATGATGTTTAAGGTACTTTTTTTTTGTTTCTATTGATCTCTTTAAATAGAAAGAGAATGGATTGAGTTGACCACACACTAGTTGGATTCTCCATTGCTAACCTTATCTCATCCTTTTGCATGGACTGGAAATCCTTTTATTTCTGTCTTTGAATGGATTGCATGTAAGAAAAATATGTAGGTTCAAATAGAACTATCTTGACAATAAAGCAAAACAACTTGAGTTCCTGGGTGAAAATTTAGTGAGTATGAGGCTAAATTAGATCGCCAGTTAAATTTTTACCTTTTATTTTTATAACAAGCTCGGAGCTAATTTTAGAATATGATTCACTTAACAACCAAAACTAGTGACAACATTTGCCTAAGCACAAGAGGAAAATATTTTAGAACCAGTAAAGGTTGCAACTTTCATTACAACTAAAACGAACTTCTTTTTTCTTTACACACACTTAAAAAGTATTATCTCTTTACCCCATGAGACTCACAGGAATCCAAAAAGGAAAATTCCCCTGTTTTGTAACACAATAATAAGAGCGTGAGGAATGAATAATATATATATATATTTTTCAAAATAACTTAAGCTAATCACTGTATCATAGAAGGAGAAAATGTTAGACAAGGTAGCATCAGGCCAGGCAAGCGATGATGATTTAAAACGAGACAGAAGGCAGAGAGAGTGTCATTTTTCACTTTGGAAACAAATCACGTCTTTGCCCAAAGGTCTTCTCTTTGCTTTCCTTGTGAGGGTTCACTGGCTTCCAATTTATAAAAGTTGCCCTTCAGAAACTCGGTTAACTAAAGTCTAACTGCACTGGAGCAAGGGAGAGAAGGCGCGCCATCCATCCGACAGACACCTCTACTTTTAAATAATCCCTGCAGGACGATGCGGTATTTATTTTACTTGAAAACATTTTAAGCTTTCCCACCCCACACGTTTTTAGTCATGCGAATACTCTGTGCATAATCTTTACCCAGATATGATCCACATTCTTGTGCCGCAGTTGCTCAGAAGTTGAAATTGCCTTGCTGTGTTTCTTTAACCCGTCCTCCCCCTCCTGCCTTTTGTTGGTTTTGTTAACAAAACAGTTTTGTTTCCCTCAGCTTCTTCCTGCACTTTGGGTCACTGATCATCTTAAGTTTGGCGAGATGGGCAGGGGTCCTGCTTCCTACCAAAGAGGGAAGACGGTTTAGTGGAAAGGAGAAAATCTACCACATCATCAACTCGCCACTTCCTCACACCAGGCCTCTCGTGTGCTTTGGGATGCCGCGGAGCCAGCCCTCTCCTAAACATTACAGACACCTCAATACTGCGCTTTTTTTCTTTTCTTTTTTTTTTTTTTTTTTTGAGACAGAGTCTCACTCTGTCATCCTGGGAAGAGTGCTGTGGTGTCACAGCTCACAGCAACCTCCAACTGTTGGGCTTAAGCGATTCTCTTGCCGCAGCCTCCCAAGTAGCTGGGACTACAGGCACCTGCCATGACACCTGGCTATTTTTTGGTTGCAGTTGTCACTGTTGTTTAGCAGGCCTGGGCCAGGCTCAAACCCTCCACCCTCGGTGTATGTGGCCGGCACCCTTACTCACTGAGCCACAGGCGTCTAGCCTTAATTCTGCATTTCACTGTTCAAATGGAGAAACAGTTCTGGCATCTTGAGAATAGGTGTAGCATTCCTAGCCTCGATCTAATGCATTTCCTTTTTTGGATTATTTTATTGGCCTACCCAGTAATCACTGTTGTAGTTCTTATAAGCCTAAAACATAACATTCGATTTATAAAAAATGATCACCCATAATTTCTTGCTCTGCCATCAGAATTCTTTCTTAAAATCTTTATTATTTGGCTAACTTCTGTCCATCACCGTTACCATTGGACAATAGCATTAATTTGGTTTCTTTGTTTCCTTCTGTCTGGCTTCTCATTAATAGGAAGAAAGTACTTTAAATTTTTGTCTGGGACTGATGGGGTCGTCCATGTTCTGGATTGCTTTAGAGACTGCTAGACAGCTAGAGAAGTACACAGCCTTTATTTTTAATCAAAGCATCTGCCCTCGATTTCTTCCTTTTCTGTCTTCATGAACTCAACTGAAAGGACTAAATAAATATTTGAATGTCTCCTTGAAGAAGCCTTGTGAAACCTGGAGAACATCCTGCCAGCTCCCTGCATCCCCATTTCTGAGTCCCACTCTTGCCCCTTTTATCTTTCCAGAAACAAAAACATCCCTTAGGCTGAGCAACTTCACAGCTCATAACAAAGGGCGACAGGGAGAGTTCACTCAAGGAGGGAGCGGACAGTGGAATGGAATGGTCTGTAACTCCAAAAGATTAGACCGAAACATTTTCAAAATGTCTTAGCCACACAGTCTCAACAAGCCAGTGCGCGACTTTGCATTGGAAGCCTCGGGTCATGCAGGAGGGCAAGGAAAACTAAACAAGCCCCTCGAACACTGGGAAAAACAAAGCCTGGTCCTGTTTGCAGATGCTGATGGTTTTACCCTGATAGTAAAAAGGATCCACTGAAAAACTCTTGAAACTAATAAGAGCATTTAGAAAGGTACCAGAGAAACAATCAGCCAAGTGGAACCCATAGACACATAGATACCAGCACTCCCCACTTAGGATACATAATGGGAAAAAATAAATCCCATTTATACATAGGTCACTATGAAAGTTTTGAGATAGACTGTGTTATGTCCATTATTTCACTTCCAAGAAACACAGTTGACAGCGTTCTGTCTGATTCTCTTGTGCAAGTTTCACTTGCTCAGCTCCTTGGCGTTCCTGAGAGGGCTTCACTCGCTTCCATCCATGTGGATTTGATGTTTCCTGATTTTTGAGTATCTCAAAACTTTCATAATGACCCAAGTATTACTAACAGTCGAGCTGGTGCCTGCCACCCAGCCTGTAAATACCTTTACTGTTTCTGTGAAATTTTCTGTTTGTTTTACGATGTGTATCTTAGGGGGCTGGCAGGAGAGGAAAGGCTATTGTCCGTGGACTGCCTCGGCCACCCTGTAGGGTGTATACCTACTGCCTCCTCCCTGTCCCTGCCGCTCACAGGGACTAGCTCTTCAGTGGCCTCTTCTGCTTCTCGTGATCTTCTTGTTCACTGTTCCCACAGGGCCAGCCTGGACCAGCAGCGCGGGTATCCCTGGGGAGCTTGTTAAAGTCAGAATCTGCGTTTAACAAGATCTCAAGGTGATCTTGTGCACATTCCAGTCTGTAAACCCCGTCCTGGAGGATGACTGGATTCCTCTTTGGAATGTTTAGTGTTGAGTGGGAAGAATAGGGGGAGAGGCATTTGCATTCTGTTATTCTCCATAAAGAATGTACTTATGAAATCCCTAGACTCAGGTCCAAAATTTTGCCACAGCTATGTCTCTCGGCCCCATCCCATGGACCGAGGGGAACTGCCTTTGCCTATATTATGAAAATTGCAAACTCCAGTCTAGGAAGGATAATAGAGGCACCCGTGGGAACTGGCACGTGGTCTCCCGTTACTTCCAACTCTCTGGGCTTCGGTTAGTTTCACGTCCCTTTCTCTGTTCCTGCGGAGAAGCTCGTGGATTTTAGTTTTACCTCTGTTCTCTCTCTGGCTTCTTACAAAGATGATAACAATGAAGGGCCTGCAGAACTGGGAGATGCTTGGAGGGCAGGAGAGATAGATCAAAATAAGGAAGAGAGGAAAGAGTCTTCGGTGACCCTGGGATGAAGGATTCCCTCTGTGTCCTCGCTGCTGATAGTCTTTCCTCCCCGCCTCGCACATAACATATGATCAATTAGGGCTAAACTTGACTTTTTTGTTTTTTATTTTTGCAGTTGAAAGAATATTAAAAGGGGCCCATGATCGCTTTCATTTTATTTAAGATCTTTATTTTTTAATGCACAGGCAAAGAGAGAAAAAGAGATATTTAGTCTTATGAGTAATCTTACTCTTGTCAGTCATTCTTTGTCCTTTTTGAATCCTTTTTAATATTTATGTCAACATCCATCTCTCCCGGTGCTACTCGGACCGCAGCCCCTGGGCGCCTCTTCTCAGTACCAATGAAGACATGATAATGGAGTTCTGTCCATCACATTCTTGTGGGCTTGGACACAGTTCTGGGAGCTATTTGTGGAAACTCTTCTTTTACAAGGATACAGTGGGGTGAATACTCTGGGTACTTTGTCCCCCCAAATCCAGGCTGAAAAGTGATGCCCCTGAGAGCTGTGACGCATTTGCCCCACTGTGCTGTGTCTTTGTGGGACAGCTCTGCAACCTTCTTACTCTGAGAGTAACTGGAAATGATCTTTCTCCCACTGGTTCTCGTGTACAGTTTTGTGACTCTAATGCAGACCTTGCCATTGTTTCCCCTATCTCTGGAGTACCCAGATTGCACTGTGCTACCTTTTTGAAACATGAAAATTTTAGGGAAAGCTAAAGAGTCTGCTGTCTGGAAGAGCAGATGTAAACACCAGGTGCTGTGCAGCGTTGCGCTTCCCGCGTATTTGCTGAGGATGCAGTTTTCAGAGTAGGGGATTGCGATGCAGCCGTCTTAGAACACAGCTTTCCTGCCTGTTGCCTCTACCGGGCAGGACGGCCTAACATTGCCTGGGCTAGAGTGGTGGCATCATCACATCTCACCCAACCTTAAACTCCTGGGCTCGAGCAATCCTCCTGCCTTAGCTTCCTGAGTAGCTGGGACTATAGGCACCTGCCACCACACCTGGCTAATTTTTAAATTTTTATTTCTTGTACAGACAGGGTTTTGCTATGTTGCTCAGGCTGGTCTTGAGCTCCTGGCTTCAAGCCACCCCCACTGTTGGCCAACCTAGAGCAGTAGTTCTCAAACTTGAGCACATTGGACTCACCTGGAAAGCTTATTAAAACACAGATTTATGACTTTCACCTCAGAGGTCAGATTCAGTAAATCTGGGGAGTGGCCTGAGAATCTGTTTTTTCAAGCTCCCTGTTTTGGGCGATGCCCGTGCTGCCACCCACAGACCACACACTGCAAGTAGCACCATCATTAGAATACACACAGACACGTATAAAAACACACCTGGAATTGTCTGAATTCCCTCTCATTTCTCTAACTCTACCCTCCTCTCCCTTAAAGCTGAATCCCTTCTTTCTCTCACTTGTTAATTCATATGGATTTGCCTCATTATCTCTGTGAGTTTGAAATACTTCACATGTCGTTAAACCCAAAGACTTCATTCTATCAAGGAAGAGAAACAGAGTGGCCCACTAGGGATGTAACACTGCTGGGTGTCTAAAGGACCTTTTCCATCCCACGCTCATCTTTGTCCACCTGATATTATCAATGGGGATATGAAAAGGAATGTGCCTAGGCAGAGGGTTTTTTCTGTGGTTGTTGGTTTGTTTTTAAAAAACGATGCATTCTTAGCAGAGGGGTGGAGCGTGCCGTTCCTTTGAGCAGCAGGCTCTGTTGCATGATGGCCTTGTTTCCTGAGCAGGGTGTGGAGCATGCCTTCACTTGCCTGGCCGCCCATGGTCCACCTCACAAGTCCCTTTCTCTGCATTTCCCATCACTTTTGTTCTTGATGGTCTCCAGGCCTGTTATTAAGATAACAGTTTCTGCTCTAACATATGCATGGATGTGAGCCGTTGTGAGCCATAATTTCTCAGATTGCAACAGAAGCATGCTTCATTGGGATAAATTGGCCAAAAGTGATCGATTTTTGTGGGGGAGAAGGGAGAACCAGAAAAGGCGGGGCCACCTGTGTTTTAGGAGATTACATCGAGTGTTCTGTTGGCTAAAGGCACTCATTCATTCTCCATGCAGCTCACTTCTGGACCGATCATTCCAAAACAAATGCGGAAAGAAAATCCATATGAACTTTTAACAATTGTTCCTTCAGTACCTCTGCAGCAATGTTTTTTCAAAGTCTGTGCATATATTTGGGTAAAGAGTAATTGCCGAGGTCCTATCTATTGACCCGATTCTGCTCACATCTGCTTATCTGTTGTTATTCCATTGCAGTTTGCTTTACTTATTTATTTATTTATTCATTCATTTATCTGAGGGATCAGTAGGGACACAGTGCAGCCTTTAGTCCACAGCAAACAATAGGAAAGTTTAGTGGGCCCACCGCCTCCAGATACACACAGCCACATGCACGCACACCCACCCCCACCCCCACACACACAACTGTAGCTAAGTTGGTTAGCAAACTGGATTTTTTCCATCATTGCTGTGAAGTCAGGATGACATCACCGCAGGACCAGCATTGTTTCTGGTGCCTCATTGTCATACCAGGAGCACCTTAGGTGCCAATTTGAAAAAGATGATATCACCCACTTCCTAAGTGCCTTAATCTTTCACTTACTCTCTGCCCAGAGAATTTTATACCGTTTATAGCTGATAGAGATCCTTGTGCTGATTAATTTTCATCATTAAAATTAGTTCATTTTGAAAATATTTCCTCTAGAAAATGAAGTTCGCTGAGTGCCCAAGATATCTTTTATTGATGTAGAAAGCTAGGATGAAATTTTAATGATGTTTGCCTACCTGACATTAGGGTTTTTTGGTTGTTATTATGTCTGAGGTTTCAGGGGACACGTAAACTAGCATGTCATTAATTTATTTGAACTATTTGGGGGGATGGTTTTTGCTTTTCTAAAAAATATTTTCACCTCACTTTTTGTAGGCATTCTATCAAATGTCTTACCTGTGGTGTGGAAACTGGAATATGAGGCAGTTGACACGCACACTATTATTTTTCTGATATCTTTGGAAACGCAAAAGAAAATGAATTTTCTCTCTAGTTCAGTGAGAGCAACCTCAAATCTGGACTTTTCAAATTATATTTTAGGGAGAAAGAAAGGCAGCACCATTCTATCTTTGTAATGATAAACATGGGGGCCTAGCTATATTTTGTTTTAAACATTATACAATTTTAGCCATGTGTAATGCCTCAAGGGCGAGACGTGTCGACCTAAATGGGGTTGTTTTCTTACCATAGCATCAGCGAGATCCTCGACTGAATGAAATTTTATTCCCCTTCTATGATGCTAAAAGAGCAATGCAGATCATCGAAATGTATGAACCTGATGAAGATTTGAAGACAAAAGGTAACAAAAATGGGAAACAAAATCTCCCTTAAAACAAGAAAGGCCCTTGGATTTTTAAGGAAGACTATCTGTAAAATGATTCGGAGTTCCCTAGATGTAAGGATGTATGACTGATTTTTTTTTTTCCCTTTCCTAAATTAGTATAAATTTGACCTTACGTCAAAATTAGTTCATGCCGTCTAAAGTATACTGTTAGATTTATTGTGCTATTAAACTTATTATAGGGATATTTTGCTTTGTACTTTCATGTATTAGATTTGAGTATTGTATTTAGTATTAGATTTAGATATTATATTTATCATTTGTTTAAAATATAGCATTGTATTTCGTATTAGATTTAGGTGTTAGATTTATTATATTGTTTAAAATATAAAAATGCCAAATACAGTCTCTATTTTTGATCTCTGGATTTCTTTCATAAAAAAATTTTGACATCTTCCTCTTCTCTCTCATTTTGCCAAGGCAAAATAAATTTATTACATAATTTGGTGTGTCCTCTTACCCTTCCTTTGGCCTCTGGTATGAAAGATATATCCAATTGATATGGAAATTAAGTAGTCGGGAATCACCTTAGCAAACTGCTGGTCTTTCTAGACCTTTGTCCCTTTCAAAGAACTTTGGGGAAATATGTGTTACTCCTTCAATTATTTGGCAAAGGAAAGGCTTGGGGAGGAATTTGAAGATCAATTCCATAGCAGTAGGAATCTCCTGGGGAGGCTGGGGAATGAGGCTTACTGACTACCAGAGCGGCCACCTCGACCCTTACGTCTCAGTGGAGCTGGGAAGGAGATCCAGGTTCAGCTTCTGTCTGTCCATGAATCTCATGGCCTCAGTTTTCTGCTCTTAGAGTCTCTTTTCTTTGTATCTAATTGTCGTGAATGTGGCTAACAGGTTTGTACATTCTCTGGACCCACATAGAACCCGTTTATAGCTATGCCTGGCTCATCACACCACACGACTTCACCCCTGCTGGTCTCCCAAGCCCAACAAGGATTTTTCCTTTTGGTTGCAGTGATGCAGGTCTACTTTCTGTTCTTGCTGAAGAGACCTGTTCTCAGCAGGATTGCTTCACTACCTGCCTGTCTATCAGTATTCTGAATATCGTGATTTATTTCATATTACATGTAAGTGAAGCAGAGGGAGGAGCATCTTCGTGGGAAATTCAGTACTTCACAGGAGCAGGAGGTGGATGTTTGTTGCTACCCTGTCACTCACTGTGTGACCTTGAGCTAGGAACCAGCCTCCTGGGCCTTAGTTTTCCTGCTGATAAGAAGGTGGGTTCCACAGAGTCATGTAGCTGGTATTTCTCTTTCCTGCCTTCATGTTGTACAGTCTGTAGAGGGCTGACTGGGTGCCAAACACTGTGCTAGATGTTAGGAATTCAAAACTGGGTAGGAAATGGCCCCTGTCTTCAAGGCAGTGGTGATCGACCAAGCAGAAAGGCACGTGGCTCAGCAGGTCCTTGGCAGTGTCACAAATATGGTAATGATGTGTCCTTGGTTATTTCTAAATTCCTTCTGAGTCGTAGATGTCTATGACGTTATCACATCTGAAAAGCATAGCTTTACCATTTCACAAATGACAGAAATCCTAACGTCTGTCATTACCCAGTGTAGGAGAGAATGCTGTGCAAAAGGCATTCCTAAAAACTCTGGCAGGACCACGGCTTGTTTCTGTACAACTTGGTGAATGTTTTGGCAGTAGTTTGTGGAGTGAAAATAGACCTCTTCTGCAGCCCAGCATTTCCACCTCTAGGTCTGTGCCCTAGAGAATCTCTTGTCCATTTCCTTAACCCTGACTGTCGGAGTGGCAGGGAACCCAGTCCTCACACCTCTGCCCCACCTGTACCCACTCACTAGGCAGCTCATCCTGGCCAGTGCCTTAAAAGTTCTCTCTGTAGGTGTAACTTAAACTCAGCAGTCCTAACTTCTGACTTAAACTACAGAGCCATGGTAACACCCTCTGGATGATAAATGGACTTTTCCAATGTATATGTAAAACATCTGTTTGGCATCTCCCAACGCCCACACTGTTCCTCCCCCTATGTATAAAATGGTATCATTATTCACCCAGCTTTTCAAGTCAAAACCCTTAGGATCATATCACATCCAATTCATTAGCAGAATCTGTAAGATCTAGTCTCAAAATAAATCCTGAATAAATCACTTCTCAACAATTCCCCCCCCACCAGAGAGTATCTATGCCTATCTCATGCCTTCCTCCCTGGGCAATGCCAGTTGGCTTCTCTTCCATACTCAGTGCCCTACAATTATCCTCCATATAACAGCCAGAGTAAACCTTCTATAACCAAACCTAATTATGTGATTTTTCTCTTCAGAACCCTCTACAGGCTTCTTAACACACTTAGAATAAAATCCAAAGTATGTACTTACTGAGGACTAAAGCCCAACTGATGCAGCCTTTGGCTGGATCTCTAAATTCTTTTCCAGCTAACTGTTTCCTTGGCCACTCTCTCCATCTTGCTGTGATTGGGTGAACTTGGGACTCATGTCCCTGGGTCATGATCTGTGGTCCTTCTCCTGCTGATCCCTCCCCCTGGAGTGGGTTTCCCGAGTGTGCTCCTGGTCTGCTCTCATGCGTGTGCGGGACCTCTTCGGAAGGGCTTCACGTCCACACACATAACACAGCATCCGGTCCTTCTCTGTCACCTCCCTGCTTTCTCTGTCCTTCTAGCACTTCCATGACTTGATATTTGCATTTATTTGCTCACGTCTTTGTTTCTTTCACCTGTAATATGTGAGTTTTCATGAAGGCAAGGCTTGTGTCTTCTATCACAGCATCTATCCTGGTGCCTCAAAAAGTACTTGGTCTTAGAATGACCAAATGGGCCCAAGGAGAGGACAGAAATTTCTACTTTCATTCCTTTGCCTATAATTAGAAATGCCCTATGGCATATTCACATTTGGACTTCTGTATCTTCAGTGAGAAATAAATGAACAAGAACTACAAATAAATGAATAAGACTTATCCTGGATCTGTCACAGGAAAACACAGAGTAAAAAATAGCAAGCTGCAGATGCACACAGTGGGCTAGCCTGTCATCAGCATTCCAATCTCTCCATCTTAGGATAGCAAGCTG